AAGGAAGGATCTCGACAAGGTGAACTTCACAGAAACTGTTAAATTTAAAAGGATCAGTGATGAAGCAGGTGCAATATGTGTTAGTTTTTCTTCATTTTTCTAATTACCATGCATTTGTGACAAGCATCAGAGTCAGCTCAACCAAGTTCCAGAGCTTGTGCCTTTAGCCTTAAAGATGACAAACGGGGATCTTTGCCGTCTCAGCACAGACCTGAGATGGGTCAGGACACTGTGCTGTGTCTGCCACCCAAGGGGAGGTGAACTGGGTGCAATGGGGTAGCCAGGGTTCCTCTTCCACAAAGCTAAACTGGTGCAGGTGAGAGGGTGGCAGAGAGCTGCAGGATTTCTTTTCTACTTGCCACCAAGAGTCTCCATCAGCTCTCCAGGGTTGTACTTTCAGACTTAAGAGTCCAATTAAGGCCTCAGTTACACTGGTTTTCTACTCCTGCGGTCTAGACAGCCTTTTCTCATCCACACCATTAAAGATGCCATTGCCTTCATTTTCTGAAAAAGCTCTGCTTTTTGCCTTTGTGACCATAGTGTCATATCCTTGTAACATTTCTTTTTGTGGTGATGTTCCAGCCTGAAATGATAGAAACAGCAGAACATGAATCTGTCCGTCATACCATACTCCAGACCATAACAGTGCCTCACCGACAATACAGAGTGCCTGAGGTTATTGACAGGAGGGGATTTTTTTGAAGCATCCATATGTATCTATGCTGGGTATTCCTACATCTCAAATCCCCATTTATAGAGAAGAAACTAAGCATCAGTTCTGCTCTGGTCACTGCCAAAGCCATGGCTTGTCCACATCCACAGTCGAAGCTCACAGCAGTGGTGCCTACAGGCTCTGGAAGCCACAGGGGTGCACAAGTCCCTGGGACCTTATCAACCCTGGCTATACCAGGAAGCTCATGGCCATCTGCAGAGCAGCCAAGAGGACAGCAGGTGGGTGAGAAACACAATCTCAAGAGTGCTCATGACCATGCAGAACCTATTCTTTATGCTGCAGACGTATCCAGAGCAATGAGAAAACCTTCCAAGATCCTACAAGGAACTTGCAGACGGAGAACCAAACTCTCCTGAGACCTACACCAACATTACAGAGGACTATGTCCCCTCCCCAAGGGAGTACACAGTTAGCCCTGCGCAGTTAGCTCTGTGCTATTGCAATATAAAAGATATGGGATGCTCTCGGGAGAACTACACAGAACTTGCACAGTTCCTCAGCCTAAACTATATGGCTCAACAATCCAGTCGTTACACAAGTGAATATTTTATGAACAGCAATTTTGTATAAAAATAGCATATTCTTCTTGCTTTCCCTTAAAAACAAAAGTTTATTTTTTTGTTGCATACAGATGGAGATGCAATGTTTTGAGTTTCGACATAGATAAAAAGTTTCTAGAAGGTTGCACGAGGTAGAGGGGAACAGCCTGAGAGTTACTAAAACCATATTTGGTAAATTTAGAGTCTAGGCAATACTGAAACAACACAAAATACATAAGGAAGATACATCCAGTGTTCATTTGGGACCTTCAGAGGCTGCTAAGTATTTGGCATAAAAGCATTAGCTTTTCTCCGTCTTAAGACTATCATATCTGGAAATGAGGGCATGAATACATATAGCTCACAAAATTTTTAAGGTTTCTTTTTTTTTTTTTACTTGGAGATATGCCCTCTTTAACGTTTAATCTTTATTATTTCCTATTGACAGTCACTAAAGCAAGGAGTGTATATTAACAGAGACAAGAGTCTCATTCATAGATAGTGAGCTACAACACATTATTTGCAAGTGCAAAGATCACTCACATGAATAAAGATTTGGTGGATCAATGACTCCACTGATAAAATGAATAAAATCCTTCTCCAGGCACAATCGAAAAATGTTTTCTTGCTACTTACCCAAGCAAGTCTACTTTCGTGTTGTTCCAGTTTAATTAACTGAAAACACATAACTATTAATGAGAGCTCTGATAGGGCAGGAGAGGAAACGCGCTTCTTGGTGATCAACTTGCAGCCACAACACAAAAACCAGTTCTGTTTGTGCAGAAGAAAGCAACCCCCTCCTGCTACATTATTCCATTGATCTACAAACATTTACATCTCCTTTGTTAACTAGTTTTCTGTGGAAATTTCATAATCATGAAGGGACGCTCTTACAACTGCACCTCAAGAAACCTGCGGTTTAGACTGGATCAATCTAAAATTCAGGGACTATTTTTTCTTTTACGTTGTGTTATATGTGAAATCCATTGTGTTTTCTCGGACATTTATGATTCATTGTAAATAATTTAGTTTGGATTTACAAAAGAGAAGGGGCTGTACAATGAGTGTAAGAACTGCACGTTACCATACCCCTGACAATCAAAAACTAATAAAAATATTTCATAAATCCCAATCTCAAATTGTTTACTCTTCCTCTTCCACATCGTTTTGCAATCTACATTCAGTATCAGGTTGACGAAAGCAAACTTTTTGGAGTATTTCTGTTGAATGTAATAATAAAATCTACTTAACAAGTTCTTGTGGCTATGGCAGGAGAACAGCCTCACCTGAATAAACTCTGTTAAACATACAATGTGCACTGAAACTAAACAAAGGCAAGATGAGTAGCTCACAGATAAACAAGGAATACCTTTGAAGTATTGCAGCGATATGAATGTTCAGTGCATTTCCCTCTCATGAGTCGTGAGGCTGCAGTGCACAACTACGGGCAGCTGAGACCTAGAACATGGTATTTATTTACTTATGTATTTATTCATCTTAAGGACTAGACACTTTAACGAGTAACAAGTGTCCTGAGTTACAGCAGTTAGTAACACAATTTGAAGAGTCATGTTCAAGCTTTAAGTCTCAGGGTTTAAATCCTATCTTTAAGACACTTTATGAATGTGATACTGGTGCTGCACAATACCAGCAACTGCCGACACAATTCAAACCTGGACTTACGTATGCTATGTTTTATTAAAAAAGCGATCAGCAGGTGAAGATTTGCCTTAAGAACAGTTACATGAGCAGCAGCGGGTTTTGGTTTTATGATGTACACTTATGTAGGATAGTGCTAAAATACAGAATCAATCAATGAAAGATTAATAATTCAAGTATGTTCTGTAAGTGAGAAAAAAGTGGAGTTAGGTCTGAACCTAACATCACTGATGAAGACAGGCTTTCTCCAGCTATCTGGTCTAGGGCACGTCAGGTCCTCTAGTTGAGGATTTCTAGTATAGAAGCGCTCTCTATCAACAATATGGACTAATCACTTTCCCTACCTGAAAGCTTGTCTTAAATTAATGTAGAATCAACACAGGCACTTATCCTAAAGCAGTGTCTGAAGGCCTGAGCGTGGGCAGCTCTTGGGACACTGTATTACCACTGCAAGCAAGACCAGGAAGAATTCATGGGGGTTTGTTCTGTCGAATACCTCCAGCCCCAGTCCTGACCAACAGTGAGATGAATTCTCTGCTGCAGTGCCACATCCCTCTAGCTCTATCACTGCAGCCCAGCAAGTATTGTAAGTGCTGTCCTTCCAAAAATGATTATTGAGAACACAACCAGTGTCCAGCAAAATAAGGACTGCAAACAACATCTGCTTATTTAAACCAAATTAGCCCCACATTCTCCAGTCACAAAATGATAGAATGCCTTGGGATGGAAGTGACCTTTAAAGGTCATTTAGTTCAAACCCCCCTTGCAGTGAGCAGGGACATCTCTGAGTAGATCAGGTTGCTCAGAGCTCAGGTTGCTCAAGCCTGACCTTGAATATCTCCAGGGATGGAGCCTCCACCAGCTCTCTGGGCCACCTGTTCCCATATTTCACCACCCTCACTGAGTGCATCCAATGACACTACTTTTTCATTGATCCCAGTTAAATTGTCAGATATCTTCCGAAAGGCTGAAACTTCTATTCTGGTGCTACAGTTCCTGCAGGGAAATAAACTATCCACAATGCCTCAGTGCAAATGTAAAATTATCTCACCTTGTTGGATTCACTGACCCTGGCAGGCACCAGTGGGCTCAACGCCTGCTTAACTACCTTCCCATTACTCAGAAGAGTAACTCCAAACTCACACATCACAATTCAGCCACAGCGGATCTCCACTTTGGTCTCCCCATCTCCTCACTAACATCATCTTTCCAAGAGAGACAGTGAAGTATAGGAAGACAAGGTATAGACAAGCCTATAGGTGGCACTCTTGCCCTGACATAACACTGAAGGACCACGAAGTGCTGGTCCTCTTTTCCCTTAGAGGAGAGAAGCCCAGGCCAGTTAAAAAAACCAAACAAACCACATTTAAAAGCAGTAATTCCACAAAGCACGTAATGAACACTTTCAGTTTTATTGACAACACGCTTAAAACTGGAAACCTACGTTCAAAACAATTATTTCCGAGAATACTGAAATACAAAATATTTCACACAGAAGTTTGTTATTGTAACACAAACAGAAAGGAGATGGAGAATATGCCGATGTGTATTGTAAGTGATCCAAGTCACAAGTTTAGGAACTGTACCACTACAGAACTGTCACACAGGCTTGGAGAGTGAGCATTTGACTGTTTTTAAGTATCATCTCTGCATTTCTAGTATTACATATTTACTTGAAAACTTCCTAGCAGTGGACAGAGAACACAATAATTTTGTCTTCAAAGTTTGTTTTGAAAGCACCATGACAACAGACTGTTCAAACTACTTCCTGACAGAGGGAAGTCTAAACAGAGACAATTATTGCAGTTATGGCTTTTTAGGGGCAATATTTAATATTATTATCTATGACAGGTTTGTGAATATACAATAACAAGCAAAATCAGTATTTCCTGGTAGTTCCTCCCGGAAAGCAAAACCAGCATTGCCCATTTTAAATAAATTCTTTTTATACTGAAGAAAGTGAACTCTCATATTCTATATAAAATGTACGTCCTTGGCCAGGCACTGAACAGCTTCCCTTTCTTCTAGATTCTCTAAAACTAAACTAACCCAACCCAAACACGCAAAACTTCTTTATTGGTTAGCAGCAAAGAAGTTCTGCCAACTTTACAAAATAAATAACTAATTTAAATTTATTTCCAAAAGAATGACACAACTAATCGAGTTGTATTGGACAGTGACACACATCACGCTCCATCACCAAGACCCTAAGCTTAGTCAGAAGGGGAGAGAGGAATGGAGCAAAGGAAAAGGAATGTCTGTCCTAAAACTACTGAAAGATTTATGCCACACTTTGCTTTTCTCTTAAAGGTCCCAAAGAAAAGTTTTCTGAAGCTACCTCAAGGTTACATCTCACACAAGCAACCCAGTTCAAAATTCAATTCTGAACAGCATCTTCTCCTGAAAAACTGAGACATCCCTGCAGCCTGACACTTAACGACATTCCCGGCTTGTCACAACACGTAGCCGTCACCCTCCTCCTCATCGTTTGCCTGACAGCTTTTCATGCTTATCCTTTGTGTGCTGGTTCCTGCTTCGGTGCCTTGGAGGAGAGTAGCTGACTCTCCTTCTGGACTGAAAGCTGGGTGTATATGGGTGAATTCTGCGTTTCTTTGGTTTTTCTTCTTTCCTGCTTTTGTTTGGCTCAGGCTCCTTACTGTCTTCCTTTTGCTCGCGTTCCTGGTCTTGTTCTTTTTGAGACGGTAACGTATTTTTGATGGTATTAAGAAGAAATCTTTTATTTGTACCAGCCAGAGGACATTTCAACCTGTAAAGACATTTAAAAGTAATCAAAGGACATGACGAAAACATCCTGAAGCAAGTCTGAGATTTTAACTTCAATAATTTTAAGACAGGTTTGTGCTTTTGGCTTTCCTTGCATGCCACCTAGTGTAAACTCTCAGTACATAAAGATATGCTCAAGGTTGCCTCCACTCTTATCTTACATTTTATAGGATTAAAATTATTTTATTTCAACACAGTGAAAATCCACATGATTTTCACAAGGCAGGGGGAAGCAGGGAATGACGATACATTTAAAGGTCGACGGTGCTTAACTTAGCTATTCAGGAATTAAATACTTAGTAACATATTCTAAGTCAAATCAGAATGGTTTAGATGATCATGATCTACTAAATTCAGCATTATCTAATGGAGATATCCAGAAAGTAAAAGGTACACTTGCATAAAGAATCCAAACATATACACGAGGCATACCAATTTTAACTTGTATCCGTAACCACTAAACAAAATGTTTTGTATCTTTTTCAACAGAAAGGATACTCATCCAACTCCTTATTCCATTGTTTTTGACTTTCTCCTCTTGCAGTTTAACAGCTTTGCACATCATTTATCTAGTAAACAAGTACTGTACATTTCATTTATCTTGTTAGTATTGGCTGTATTCTACTTATTCTCAATTTATCAACTCTTAAAGAATGGAATGAGAAAAAACAAGTTTGAATGTATTTCTGCAGTAAGCAGAAATCACTCTGAAGACTTTGTTTATAGTGGCAGCCACCATGATGTTTGTCTTCACAACATTTTTGTGTCCGCAGGCTAATGGAGAAATTATGGGATTACTCTAAAAAAGCAGAGCTGTCATAGATGAGAGTAAAACTTACTGAATCAACTATGAAGTCAATGAATCCTAACACCATAGCATTAAGATCATCTATTCTTTCTGAATATTTCTGACTAAGTGTGGAAACTATACCCTGACCATTTATAAACCTTTCATACCTCTGAATAATCAGAGGTATCAGAACAAGAAAATTGTAACAAAGATCACATCTGGTTATTTAGCATACTTCACCATTTTTAACCGGGCTTGGCATTTACTGTGGCATTTTGCTTCAGGTCTGCCTACCAGGCATTACTGAGAACTATTCCTGTCCTAAATCCTCAAAGAACTTTTAAGAGAGTCATTTTAGGTGTATACATTAAACAGTCACACTGTTTTTATTTGCACGAGGTATTTCCTGACACATTTCTAGAGCATAGCTAATTTTGGAGTTTTCTAAACTTCCTGTGTATGCCCATAGCACAGGTTACACTCAAGACGTAACACAAAACAGCGAATATTTAAGTCCTCTATATGTCATCAACCTGTTATACCTCAACACCTCCTCCCAAGGAAGGCAGCCTTCTCCAGGCTGCAACCTTGCAATAACTATTTCACATTTGTCTCCTTCCTCTTGCTTTTCCTTCAGAGCTAATGCATCGATTAGGCACTAATATATATAGCACAAGAATGAGGCAATCTGCCCTAAATAAATTCACCTTGCTGAAGTATTTATTTCTCTTTGGCACTGCGAGTGCTGCCTGAGCTTTACTAAGAGTGAAAACGGATGAGAAGTGCAAGGCTTCAGAGTCAGCTAAGAGATGCCAGGAGCTCACCATGATACAGCGATAAAAGCGAGACACTGGGCTTTCATGGAGCAGCAGTAAGTTACAGCACTGAAGAGAAATTATCAGTCCTTAGTCTTATGGACCTCAGACTCCAACATAGCAAATTCTGCCCTTAAAGAAATGAGATGTATGGCATGTGCTACATTATACATGCACATAAACAAGCCCATATTGCTTACATACATCTGTGGTAGATACGGAACGGTGAAGATTGAAAGTGAACCCACTGATATCTTCAAGAGCATTTTTAGTAGTGAAAAAATCGAGCTTCCCAAAGAGAAGCCTTTGGCTTGCTCTAGGTCTGATCCTGCAATGCTCGATTCAATGACAGCTTTGTCCTCAACTTAAGTTCTGACGGGCTGGGAGGCAAGCTCACCCTGTGCAACGTGGAATGCAACACTGCTGACTAATGATCAGGGCCACAGAACACATTTTAAAAGCTTTTTCTCTATTTTTTTTAAAAGACATGTTAAAAGAACATTAAAGTTCCAAACCAAGGCATGGCATGCCTGAAGCAGAGCTGCAGATGTGACCCAAGTAGTCACACGTTCTAGAGCAGTCTTGTCTATGAAACAGTCGCCCGTTCTGTAGTAACACATTCACTCAGTGCAGGGGGTCACTTCTCGCTTTGCATGAAAAGTAAATAAACTAATCCATGTTAAACTAAGCTACTCTCACTGGCAGAACCTTGTCTCCCTGCACAGATAGGTCCCACAGACCCCAAAATCTTTCCACTATGCAATCACAGAGTCAACATTGCATTTTGAGCAAGAAAAAAAAGGATTAAATCCATTATTATGTATCTAGGTCAAATCTTAACTCTACTTTTGACATTTTAAGTCAACTTCTGTGCAATAACACAGAATTTCCAGACAATACCTGCCCTTAAGTGTAGCAGGGCCGTTCAGCACAGAAGTGTACTGTACAAATTCTTAGCAGTAAAACGTGCTGGCACCACTTTCATAGAATCATAGAATGGCCTAGGCTGGAAGGGACCTTAGAGATCACCTAGTCCAACCTCCCTGTTTTGGGCAGGGATGTCACCTCTAGACTAGACCAGACAACTTAAGACACAAGAGTGCAGTGCCACACACCGCAGTCTTTTCTCTGCTGAGGAACTGGACAGATCAAACAGGTTCAGCACAGTCAGCCTCAGCGTAGAGAGTAAATCCCATCTTTCCAGGAAACAAAATTCCTTATGGATGAACTTACAAGTGCATTTCTATCACTTGCAAACTGCTGTGGAAAATAAAAAGCACTTTACAGATAGAAGGCAAAAAAAAAAAAAAAACAACAATGCAAAAAAGCAGCTGGAGGTTGTTGTGCCAAACCGACTAATCTGGGCTGTTAACCTTCCACAGGGGATCTCACGAAAGACGACGCCTGGGAGGACGCTGCAAGCTTTTGTGTATCAACTTGGCAGCTAGACAGAGCTGGCAGGACTTTGAACAGGAACCTGTGCTCTGATCACAAGATTTTAAAATACTTTGCAATCTCTGCCTGTAACGTGTTTCTCCTCCTCTTCATATTTAAGCGAAGGAGGTGCAGAGGAATCGCATCACAGGGTTTCTGCACAGTCATGCAACACCCATTCAAAGATGAGATGCGATACAGTATTTCACAGCTCTGGTGCCCTCACATGCTTTGGCTTCATCTTCGTTATTTTCTATTCTGCAGTAATTCCAACAGATCTGGTATTGAAGAGAAAGCTATCTATAGGAATGAAAGCAATTTTAGGACTGCTTTACAAAAAAAAATAGGGTTAAAAATAATTTAATTATTCCAAAATTTATTTTCTTTTTTGAAATTTCATCCGCTCTTACAATGCAGAGCTGAACAAAGCACCGCAAAATATCCTGTTTTCCACATCTAATTTTAAGTAAGCTTTTCAAGTAAGCTGAGAAGACTACATTCAGTTCAGCCGTAGCTCACTTGCCACCAGCATCTTTGAAGACCAGGCCTAAACACTGGAGGAAAAAAAAAAAAAGCCTCTGGAACTTTTCCACACATTAGCTTTTCTGGCATTTTAACTGTCTTTCTCAACTAAGGCAGAACAATCCCTTAAAATGAGACCTAATTCCACCACTACAGGGAAGCTTATGAATTATGTAACATAGGATGAAGAAAAACACATAAGGAAAATTGGGCTTTTAGCTTGATTTTACCTCGACACATCATGGAAAACTCCAAATATCCTGTAGCTTTACTCCATTTGTGTCCAATACTCTCTAATGAATTAAGGCTAAATTTATCTAACCATTTCAAGTGTTCTTACACTATCTGTCCGAGACGTCTGATCCTGGATCCAGCTGGTCCCTCAAATGTTGACTTCCAGACAGCTGCTCTGATGTCTTCTCTCATATCAGAAGTGCCAGCATCACTGAGACTCAGCCACAGAATCTGCTCTCTTTTGCTCAACATTTCTGGGATTAAGACCTTCTCTCTCACATTTTCTACCTTGTGATGAGCTCTGCTAACACTCAAACTAGATATTATCTGCAGCAAGATCTACATCATGGGGTAGCATAAGGACGCAGGATACACCCAAAAAGAATCCCTATGGCCACAGAGTGTATACAAAAGGAGAACTGCAGGAACTAGAAACACAGCAGTGCCAGGATCAAGAATCTTGAGGACATCCAAGGAACAAGTTAATACTCAAGAGTCAGTAATGCCAGATCTACAAATAGGAATATCCAGTACTTCTTGGATTAATTTGCCAGGGATCCAGATACTGCCAATCTGTGCAGTCCTAAGAGCAAGGAGACCAATGAGCTAAGACTCTTGGCCAACTAAACGAGCTCACACAGCCCACTGGCAACACTGACAGTTCTTCCATGTTCAGAGACTCAGATAATGTCTCTTCCTGCATAAGCTCTTGCTTGATATCACCACCAACCTCTCTGTTTGGGGCATGCCCTTCTTCTACCACCATCTAACTCCTGCAGGTTGCAGCACCAATTATCATCCACAGCAGACTTGTGAGACAATGTAACACTGGCAAAACTTTCCCAAACTGGAAGAAATACTAGCAATGCCATCCCATATTTCAAGGCTGAGTGTTTGTACCAGACTGTGGGCTAAAGGATGACTGCTCGGTACACTTTTTCTGTATGTGCCAGCTATGATAGCTTGGATGTTTGCAATTTAGGCTCAAACAACAGCTCACTATCCCTCTCACTTGATGAAACAACAAAAAGTTAGGTAGGGGTGCTTGGGGAACTTCTTCAAACAGTGCATTTGAGTTATGGAGAACCAATCACCCTGGACAGTAACAGCACAGTGGGTTGAACGTGAAAGCAATCCCAAAACACCATTTGGAGGCTTCTGGCTAAGGTTTTGCTGCCATCAACATTCACCAGCAGACACTATTCTTTTGTGATAGTATGCACAACATAGTTCCCCGGGAATGCCACCTCCCCACACACCTCCCTTCGAGTTCCTGTCAAACGCCACTGCCTTCAGGAATGTATTTCCCAGTATCCAACAGCTGCTGGAGAGCGACATAAACTGGAATCAGCGAAGTACGAGCAGTAGCAGCCTCTGCTTCTCCTTACCCAAAGACAGATGGCAGAACAAATCTTTTCTTCTTAGGCCGAGTTGCTTCAACTATCCAGTGCCAATGCAGGATTGGTGGCCTTACACTAGATGGCTCCAGGGTTTGTGCATCTCTTCTCCAGGACTCCTCTGACAAAGGGCTGAGGAAATCCCAGAAGTCCTCATGAAACACACCTGTAAGCATTTTGAGTTTGGCAAGGAAGGAAGGTTTTGCGTTTTACCTGTTAAGATTGTGCTTTTAGAAAGTTGGTAACGGCCTTGTCTCTTGGCTTCTACCAGTTATGCTCTTCCATTTTCATTAACTTTTCTGCTCATTTGCTATCCATAGAGCTCAGAGCAGCAGTTACCTTCGTTTCAGTAGTTTACATCTGCAAGGTTACCTGCCAGTCCTGGATTGAATCTCTGAAGGATTTACTGTAACATCAGCTACATCTGATGGCATTTTGTTGGAGTGTGATACTCAGTTAAGCATAGCTGCCTTCCAAATATCTTATGAGTTATCTCCCACATTTACACATAATACCTAGTTGTTGGGCCAGAAGGACCAGAATTGCACGATGGGGCATGAAAAATACTGAAAGGAAGAGAGCTGTGGCAGCTTCCACCTGCTGTTCTGTCTCTTGCCCTTACAGAAGTAGACACCAAAGACTTACAGGAGCCTTTATACCGTCCTTACAGCCACATACACCAGCTGTACACTAGCCTATGTCACACCACATGGCAGCAGAGTTGTGACAAATGGGATTGCTACCCGTCTCTCTAAAGATAAATTCAGAGACCCTGGAGAAGCGTCATACAAAAAAAAAAAAATCATCTCTGAGCGCAGGATATCCTGAGCTGCAGACTGCCTGATGCTGGGCTAGTACCTGGAGGAAGTACTGCTACTTTCTTGTACTTCTCTTCATTTCCTCAGCACTGGTATCACCCACTGATGAAGACAGGGCACTGCACTGATGAATCCTTTGTTTGACCAAGTACAGCTATGCTCACATCCCTCCGCAGTTGAAAGGATCCTTACTTGAATACCTCAGTTCAGGATGTCACCACATCAAATCCCTATGTCAACAGTCTTCCTCTTCCTGAAGCCTTCTTGACAATCCTCCCCTCCTACACCTTTAACACAACCCTGGCCTAACTAAACACTATTTCACTCTAGTGGAACCTGCAGCTGTTCTGAAGAACATGTCGCCCTTAGCTGTTCCCTCCTCCAGCAGGTCTTGGGCATCAGGTTTTAGCAAACTGCATGTTACCCCGAGCTGATGAGCACAGCCAGCTGAGCAGGACCACTCCTCTTACAGACAAGGAGTAAGAAGTAGCCAGAGCCAGGAGGAGACGTCCCACCCCATTCCTGGCAGGCGTTCCAGACTGCACAAGCAGCAATCAAGTTGCACAGGGACACTCAGTTAACTCCCAAGAGAAATCTTTAGTCTCTGTACCTGAAATTAACAGTAATCGAATTCACAGTAATTGAATGCGTGAAACATTTCAAGGTGCTAATAACCTGCGCTGGTTTACCTGGCCACTTGGCAAGGCTGACGGGATAAAAGCGTGCCGTATCTCTATATAGCTATGACTACTCCAAGGGGTTTAAATCAATCTAACTATTTTAACATGAGAGTATAAACCTACCAGAAGTACTGGGTAAAATATACAACAAAAAGCCACAATTTGTTTAGAAAATATGAAAGATTAACTTTTTTTTTTCCCCAGCAAGACAGTATTTTAATCTCTTCAGAGCTATTAAAACACACATAGTCAAGGAAACTTCATTAACATTGCAGGCTTATCTTTTATTATTGTTGGTGGAAGAAGCCAAACCTTATCTACAAATGAGTTTGACCCAGTCAACTCGTGCACTACTTGTGTGAACATTCTAGATCCAACAGCTTCTTATCAAAGTCATACACACTATTTTAAGATGAACGACTCTTCTCAGTATGTCATTACTACTTTAACTACAATTACATGCATTATATTCCATGATAATCTGGCTGTAAAAACTGAAATATGGCATCGAAGAATTTATTTCACTTCAGACTTAAATTCTGTGTTTATTTTCCCACTTGCTATATAAATTATCCCCTGTGTTTTAGTGAGTTTTTCTAGTATTTAAAAATACCTTTTTCCAAAACTGGATTATATTTTTGAGTTCATTTTTCGCAGCAATTTACACATGAATTCTCTACTAGAGGATCATTTACTATTTTAATTGTTTCAAGGGTTTAAGTTTCTTTGTCAGGCTATGAATTCTTCTAACTTAAACAGAACCTAACCCTGTAATGTGGCCAGTATGTAAGTACACGTACACTGAAGCTACGTAGTATTTAAAAAAGACTCAAGACGCTCCAATCCAAACTTTGCAATTCCATCTATTATAAGGAAATGATATTACAGAAGCTACTCCCAGTTTTCCAATTGCTTTGACTTCAACACATTCAGTCAAACAATTTCATGCAGGCAGAATTTACTTGAACTTCTTTCTTATCTGGACTCAAATTTTTGCCAAGATATATTAATACCTGGATGAAGATAAATTATTTAAACATGTTAAACATTTAAACATATTAAGATGAAAAAAGTATAGACTTCTGTCATACATTAAACGTGAAATTTATTCTAGCATCAGTCATAGCATTCATTTCCTCTTGGCACAACTTACCAACCCATAGCTCCCATTGTTTCAGCTCTGGTTCTCCCACGTTTTGCCTCTTTAAGTAACTCTTCCACAGCCTTCCTAAATATGAAGAAAAGAAAAAGTTACCACTGTAGAACACAAGAATTACTCACTTTATGCACTTACGTAAATCAAGTGAAGAGCTTCTACATAGCAATGAATTAAGCAATAAAGAGACTACCAAAATCATCTTGACTTTCTTATTAAGATAATTCAGATTCCTCTGCACCAAGATGAAAAGAAACATTTTGACATATCAAAAGCAATTAGAGCTGCTGCAAACACAACAATTGCAATACTAATTGAGGAGCAGAAATAAAGTGTGCAAAAACTGATGTACCACACCAAAAACCACAGCCCCTGTGGCTTCACCTTAGGAATGCTCTTCCCTGCTGCTACTTCAGTTAGGTTCTTCCTAAAGTTTCTAAACCACAGCAGGTCTATTTTGAACACAGTTAAACAACAACAGTGAAATAGTAAGCAGTCAGATGGCAGTAGAAAATCACTGCAAACACCAGCTGTCAAACTGCACTATCTTTGTGTAACAGTGAAAGAAAAAAGCTCATCTTCGTGACTATAATTCACCACCATCCCAAATGACCAACCTTTACATTAGCAGCATTTTCTAGAACAAACTGGCCAGACTAACGCTAATGCAATTAAATAACTATGCTCGCATAAAAAGTCATTGGAGAGTATAACTTATGCAAATTGTAGATAACTCCTGCAATGTCAGTCTTTCTGTTCTCTTTATGAATTAATTTCAATCTCAAATAAAACTTAAGTAACTGCTCTACAGTATGTGGTTGAAGTTAATGGGAAAACCAGTGAACAGATAATGTAAGCCATTTATCATACAAATGAAATGCATACACTAACAATTTGATTAGTTAACTGCAAGCAACCATATATGTCAACCAAAAATTAACTGCAAGACAGAAAAGGAAAGCTATGCACCAGGCTGTAATACCCGGCGTATGAAGCTAAGCATTTAACAACGCTGACATGGGTAAGACTGAAGGTTTGAGGAACCGAAGGTAGGAGGTACTAAAGAGGCATTTACTGTTTAGCTCTCCTAGCTATGATGTTCCAGAATGGTTGCTGGCATTTGGACTACACGAGCAACATAGTCATCATCCTGACAGTACAAGTGTGTGTGTGACCTGTGCAGAAAAAAGCAACTGCCAACAGACTTTGACCCAAACTTTAAGGAATCACAGAATCACAGGATGTTAGAGGTTGGAAGGGACCTCTGAAGATGATCTAGACCAACCCTCCTACCAGAGAAGGATCACCTACAGCAGGTCACACAGGAATGCATCCAGTCAAGAGTCATCATCTAATAGCAGAAGCAGGTCTGAGAAGAAAACCAAGCAATTTACACAGCAGGTCCATGTGAAGATCTGACAAGATACTGCTGGGCTCTAAACATCTCATGGAGTGGTTTATTACCATTTAGGTTACGAAAGTCTACATAGAAAACACAAGAAGCCTTAGCTTTAAGTGCATACACTGCATGTGCATAACAGGGAATGAAAATAAGAGGTACAGAATTTCCTTCAGTAGCTAATGAGAAAACATTATGCAGTTACACAGCAGCCTACATCTCTCAGTCTAGATCTAACCTTCTTCCGTTTGTTATGGTCTTAAAATAAGCCTTTTCTGGCTCCCTTCATATTTGTGATCATGGATTTGTTCATTCATTAGGATAGCCTGGTGACATTCATAAACACAGACTCACTTTTTCTTCTGCCTGTATTGCTTTTGGGCAAGTTTTAGTTTTCCCTGGCAACAGGAAACAAATTGGTGCTAAATGAGTACAAGTATAGTGTACACCAAGGTGTAACTACTCTTTCTACAGTTGCTCTGCAGTTCAACATGTAATTCTTGATCAACTTAGATAGATAGATACGTATATTCATAGAATCATTAAGGTTGGAAAAGACCTCTAAGACCACCTAATCCAATCGTCAACCCAACACCACCATGACCACTAAACCATGTCCTGAAGTGTTTTTTGAACACCTCCAGGGATGGTGAATCCACCATCTTCTTTGGCAGCCTGTTCCAATGCCTCACCACTTTTTCAGTAAAGATTTTTCTCCTAATATCCAATCTAAACCTCCCCTGGTGCAACCTGAGCCCTTTCCTCTTATCCTATCACTTGCAGCTTGGGAGAAGAGACCAACACCCACCTCGTTCATTCCAAGGGGAAACCATTCCATTCAGCAAAAGCTGAGATCTGTGCCAGGGGGACAAACAAATATTCACAATTCCTAACTTTTTTCTTGGATAGTTTGCATTTGAAGGGCTTTGCAAAGGGAAGCATCCAAGACTTCCACAGAAACAATAGCAGAGAAATACATTAAAAATCATAGTAATGTTTCTCTGTACACCGTGTCTACTAATGGCACATGGGTTTAAGGTTCCTCACTCAAGTCTCTCTCTCATATATGGTTATTATCATAATCATAGAACAGGCTAGGTTGGAATGGACCTTAGAGATCATCTAATCCAACCTCCCTGTCATGGGCAGGGACACCTCTCAGCCAGACCAGGTTACTCAGGGCCTCATCCAAATTGTCCTTGAACACCTCCGGGGAGGGGGCATCCACAACTTCTCCGGACAATTTATTCCAGGGTCTTGCCACCCTGGCACTGAAGGTTTTTTTTCCCTAAGATCCAGTCTAAATCTGTTTAGTGTAAATCCATTTCTCTTTGTCCTATCAGTGGACGCTTTGTAAAAAGTCTCTCCCCAGCCTTCCTGTAGGTTCCCTTCAGGTACTGGAAGGCAGTTATAAGGTGCCCCTGGAGTCTTCTCTTTTCAAGACTGAACAATCCCAGCTCCCGCAGCCTGTCCTCGTAGCAGAGGTGCTCCAGCCTCTGGATCATCTTTGCGGCCCTCCTTTGAACACGCTCCAACAGATCCACGTCCCTCTGATGGTGGGGGCACGAAAACCAGATGCGTTATTCGAGGTGGGGTCTCACAGGAGCAAACGGGAAGAATCACCTCTCTGGATCTGCTGTCCACACTCCTCTTAATGCATCCTGGGACAGGGTTGGCCTTCTGGGCTGCATGAGCGCACTGCCGGCTCACGTTGAGCTTCTCATCTATCAACACTCCAAGTCCTTTTTTTCAGGGCTACTCTCAACCCACTCTGTGCCCAGTTTTTATTTGTGCCTGGGATTAGCTCAACCCAGGTGCAGGACCTTGTATTTTGACTTGTTGAAGCTCATGCAGTTTGCTCTGGCCCATTTCTCAAGTCTGTCAAGGTCCCTCTGGATGGCATCTCTTCCCTCAAGCAAGTCCACCACCCCACACAGTTCGATGTTGTTGGCCAACTTGCTGAGGTCCACTTGATGCCACTGTCCACGTCACTGACAAAGATGCTGAACGGCACTGGACCAGAACACATTCCCAAGAAACTCCACTTGTCACTCGTCTCCACGTGGACATTGAGCTGCTACAGTCTCAGTAGCAGCTGGGCTTGGGGTACTTTAAACCCTTTTTTAAGCATCCATCTGACAGTGAGGACATGTTGCATATCCAGTTACATAACAGTCACTCATAGAAACCAAGTGTCTGCCCAGGCAAGCTGTCACCAGTCCAAGCTACCTGCACCTAGATGCTAAGTAGTGTCAGCAACCTCACCAGTTACTGCTGCCTTCTCAGGTAGGAGCAGTTGGGTGTGTGGGATGGCTACTGCCAAGAACAACAACCACCAAGTAAAGCAAAAAAATAACCCCAAGAAACACAGGTTCTATCATTGGAACAAAGGAGATGTTGGATATGCAGGTCTCTGTGAAATGATGGCAAGAAATTCTTTTTTTCCAGACTCAGAATTTGCTACTCGAGCTAGTTTCTAGTGATGACAGCAGGAACATGTGACCTTAATAAAAGCTTGTCTTAATAAACAGCAATGTCAGATGAAGGGGAGGAACGAGGAAGAAAAAGTGTCTGAATTTACTTTCCACAGTTGCCAAACTTAGTGATTCTGTTTTGAGAAACCTGACTAGGAAGCAGATTAGAAGCCTGTCACTATTATTATATTATAAAATCTGTCATTATTTTATAATTAAAATAATAAACCAAAGTATCTGAGCTACAAAGCACTAATAAAACACACACACATACAGATTTTAAACACCTATGATTCAGTTTCAGGGGAAACACCACAATAAATTAATATGGTGACAGCAATTCTATTAACTTAGGCAAGAATTAAAAGCCTTTAAGTATTTGAGACTCGTTTTTTTTTCCCCTCTGGTTTTATCAAAGATCAAGCTGACTTTGCATCCATCTTAGTGACCTTATAAGTTGACACCTTTTCTTATCACACATTATTTCCTAATGTTGGTCTTTCAACATCACTCTTACTCACTGCACCTTTATAAAGCCTTTTAGGCTTGTACAGACAAATGAAAAAAAAAAATCTCCAATCCTCTTTGAAATAATGTGTCTCCACTTGCTGAACTTGTATCTTCTACATAAGTAAGCCAACAGCTTAAAAGCTATGCAAACAGGGTTTTTACATTTGCTTTTAGAGGCCTCTTGGGACTCCGCATTCCTCGCTCTCTTCATTTTTACAGCTTGGTTACAACACAAACAGTCCTGTGGCTGCCAGCTTCAACTCCAGTGTGAGCCAAGGGAACAGAGCTTGCAGCTTTCACATGAGAACCACCCAAACACCAGGGGACTGGTAGGAAAACTAGGGACAGGGGCACATTTAAGGACATTGCCATCATTCTGGCATTTTTTATAGCAAGCGCCACTTAAAACTTGCTGTGGCAATCCTTTTTGAGCAATCAAGCTTAGCTGCAGAATTACAGTAGCATAAGGTATAAGCAGTGATATTTTTATCTTCAAGAGCATAGTCCAAGACCTATTTACATTTCTGAGGGATTAGACTTTTTCCTCTATATTCCAAGGTTACAGGCAAAGCTCCCATTGCATAAATCCTAACAACCTGCATCACAAATGCGTACGCCCAAAGAATGGGAAGGCTCTGAAGTCAGGCAAAACCAGAGATATTTTCTATTCCTTGCTCAGGCAAAT